TATCATATTATCTGCCAATAATAACTTTTATTTCTTTATATCTAACCCTAACATTATTTATGCCATTATCTTATCTTAAAAGTCAGGTAAGACCTCCAATATTTGCTTAGATGGTAATGGAAATTTTCTTCTCTTTCAATGGAAATTCTACTAAAGTTATTGTAGTAAGTTTGTTTTCTCATTAGGTGTTTTTGTTGTTTTAGGGTTGAGTGGCGTTTTTTTTTTTTTGTTTTGTTTTGTTTTTTGTTTTTTTTTTTTAGGTTTTTGTTTGGTTTGGAATTTTTTTGGAAGTACTGAGTATTGAATCCAGGAAATTTCTACCTCTGAGCTACATCCCAACTCTATTTATTTAATTTAATTTTTGGAGACTGGATCTTGCTAAGTTGACAAGGTGGGCCTTGATTTATGATCCACCTGCCTCAGCCTCACAAGTAGCATGGATTACAGATGCGAACTATTATATCTGGCTCAAAAAGCTTTTAATACTCTTAGAACTCTGTAATTTTATCCTAAATAAGGATTAATTTTTTGCTTTTGATGCTGGAACCCAGAGGTGTTTATTCTGAAACTCTTATTATAAATAAGGTATTTTTTTTATGTCTTATGAAATCTTATGGTCTGGTATTAAAATGAAATGCATTGATACTTTTTAATGTTTTATTAACCTTTTACTCTTTGAATAAATACTACTTGATCAACATGTAAACTGTGTAAACTATTGAACTTGAATAGCTAATATTTTAGGGGGGACAGTTGCTGGGGATGGAATCCAGGGCCTCCTGCCTGCTAGGTAAGCTCTCTTCCACTGAACCATGCCCCCAGCCCAAAGGCTATTATACTTACATCCATTAATGAAATGCATTTATGCTTTTCTTGTCTTGAATCTTCCTTATCTACTCTGAGATTCAAAACTGTATTAGATTTCAGTCGTTGTGATAAAATGCCTGAAAAAAAAATTAAAAGGAGGAAAGATCTCTTGGGCTCATCTTCAGAGGTTTCAGTCGGGGGTCACCTGACGTCATTGTCCCTGGGCTTGTGGTAAGGCAGAACATCATAGTAACATGTGGTAAAGCAAAGATGCTCACCACCTGGTCACCAAAAGCAGAAAGAAAGAAAATAAAGGGCTGAAAACAAAAACATATGCTTCAAGTGCACGCCCCCGTGACCTATTTCTTCCCATGAGGCCCTGCCTTCTAAATTTCCACCACTTTCCAATAGTCATTAAGCTATGAATCCATAAATGTTTTAATCAAGTCACAAGATCAGAACTCTTTTTTTTTTTTTTTTTAAGATCAGAACTCTTGAGGTCCAACCACATGTCAATGCCCCCACCTCTGAACACTACTGCATTGGGATCAAACTTTCTCCACATAAGCTTTTGCGTGACATTGAGGATCCAAACCAGAACAAAAACTATAAAAACTTCATAAAATTAGCTGGGCAACTGGGAAACTGGGCACCTTTACTTTGTTCTTTTTTTTGCTTTTTCCATTTTCTGGAGTAACTTATATAAAATAGGTATCATCCCACAAAATAATGATAAGTACATAAATGCATATTCATTAGCTCATTTTAACCATTCCACAGTGTGTTCATATTTCAGAACAACGTGTTATTCAGGATAAATATATGATTTTTTTATTTGTCAACTAAAAATCAAAGAAAAAAAGATATTTTAGCTCTTGAAAGCTCTTAGAAAACTGTCTAAGTGGGGCTGGGGATGCACACTCACCTAGCATGTGTGAGACCCTGGGTTCGATTCTCATCACCACGTAAAAATAAAATAAAGATATTGTGTCCACCTAAAAAACTAAAAAATATATATTTTTTTAAAAAAAGAAAGAAAACTGTCTAAGCTAGGAGTTTTTTTCTGGTATAAGTTTTTGCTTGTTTTTTCTTTAATCATTATTTTATACATTGTATTATGTGAATATGTAAGATATGCATAAAATTATGCACACAGACACACTCACATGCATATACACACACCTCTTTAAAAAAAATAGAGATGTGACTGGGGTTGTGGCTCCATTGTTACACACTTGCCTAACACTTGTGAGGTACTGGGTTCTATTCTCAGCATCACATTTAGGTACTGTGTCTATCTACAGCTAAAAATATTTAAAAAAACAAAACAGAGATTTAATGCACAATTATTTTTAGGTTAGTACAATCCAAGTTGTCTTCCATTTGCCAGCCCAGACCCTTGCCTGCCCCGCTCTGCCTCAGGAGGCTGCCCTGTGTGTATACACGTTCCCCTGAGATCTAGCTTCTTGAACAAGAAATCCTGGAGGGAAGGAACTGTGATGAGGGTATTTATCCCCGTACTTGCCTTCTTGAAGTTTGTTTCTTTTTTTAAATGGACACAATACTTTTATTTATGTTATTTGTTTATTTTTACGTGGTGCCAGGGATCCAACCCAGTGCTTCATGCATGCTAGGCAAGCGCTCTGCCACTGAGCCATAACCCTGGGCCCCTAGAAGGTTCTCTCTGGCTTATTTCCTCTATCAAAGTGGCAAGCCTTCTCCAGCTGGTCTTTCCTCCACTACTCTTTCTCTCTGAGTCCCAGAAACTGTTCCCTCTGCTCATCTTCTTGGACCCTGGGATGTTCACAACCCCCACTGTCACCTGTGCTGCATGCTACCCTATATTTTCTAATTTCCCTACTCCACATCCACGTGTCTGTAAACAGTTTCTTTACTAAGCCTTTTAAATTATCCTAATTTGAATGCCATCTTTCCTTCTGGGACCCTGACTACTACACTTTAATTTATTTATAGAAACAATCTGCCACCACCACCCACTGCACACACACATACACACACTCACTCGGGTTAGCCATTACTAATAGTTTCGGTGTGCATTTTTGCAAACACAGACTTGTGTGATATATAACATAAAAGCTGTGTGGTGTATTTGAAATCTAAACAATAATTTTAAAATGAGACCCTTTAAAAACAATTTTTTAAAGATTTCTAGTTGCTACTGACCATGCCTCATTTTTCAATTTTTTTTGATCCTTAAAACTCTTTATAATTCTGTACTCACTTAATCTTTTTGAGGACCTGTATCTCTTGACATAGACTTATTTTTCTTAAATGTAGGTGTTCAGGTTCTGACTGCTATTCAGGCTATCTCTTTCTCTCTCTCTCTCTCTCTCTCTCT